CCGCCGCTGGCGCTGGGGGGCGGCGCGAGCCCCTCGCCTCAGCGCCGGCCTCCGCCCCGGCGCGCGAGCGCGCGCCCGCTCGCTCGCTCGCGGCCCGTGGCCAATCAGAGCGCAGCCGGGGCTCGGGCACGAGCCAACCGGAGCGGGGAGCAAGGGCGGGGACCGGGGCAGGTGGCGAGCGGCCAATCGGAGCCCCCGGGGAGGGAGGCGGGCGCGGAGCGGCCGGGCACCCAATCGGAGGGGCCGGTGGGGCGGGGCCGGCCAATGGGAGCGGAGCCGGGGCCGCTGCGGGGCGGGGGAGCACGCGGCGTCGCTCCCCCCGAAATGCGCCGGCCCCGCCCCGCGGGAGCGCGCGCAGGGGCGCGGCCGAGCGCGCGCGCTTCGGCCCGAGGCTGATCCGCGCGTCCGTCCGTCCGTCCGTCCTTCCCTTCGTCCATCCTTCCATCCGTCCGTCCATCCGTCTGTCCGTGCCCCCTTCCCTCCCACCGATCCCGGGCGGGGGCGGGAGATCCCCGGGGCCGGCTCACAGCCTCGGCCGTGCGTGAGCTGCTGTACCGGGGGTGGTGGCGGGGACATCCCACTGGAGGTCCCTGCGGGGATGGCGAGCCCGTGGAATGCCGCGTGGAAGGGGGGTGTCCTCCGCGGGGTAAGCAGCTAGCGAGAGGGCCTGAGGAGGAACAGGGCAGATAGACCCGCGGGCATGGTGGGTTGAAGCTGAAAGGAAACTGAGAGCTTCAACTGATTATTTCCTCGAAACCCCTGGGAACTCTTAAGGGAACAGGCTGCAGGGAGAGCCAGAGAAATCCACTTCAATCACAATGAACATCTCTCCAGGGGAATCGCAGCTAAAAGAGGAACCTAATCAGCCAGAAACTGCAAGTGGTGGCTGTGATGAGCAAAGGCCATTTGTGATCTGGGGACCATGCCCAGAGCTTCAACAACTCTGAGGAAGCATCACAGATTGTAGTGTGGCATAGCTGCAAGGCAGAGCATCCTTAGGGCCAGCACAGTTTGCAGGGACAGAGCTGAGGGCAAGCTTGTGGTATAGCAGCTGGGCAAGTGCTTTGCTGTGGTTCTGTTCTAGCAGAAAGCATGAAGGTTCCCCTCCTGGACCTCCCCTCCAGCAGGGCCTTAGCAGATGATCTGTCTGAAATGGCTCTACCTCAAAAAAATTGGAAAGGAACATCAGAATGTCAGAGAAATCAGAAATTAAATCATCAGAGGAGGGTGGTGCTGGGTGAGGGCTCCTGATAGGAGGCAGAGATGAACCAAGAGTTGCAGTGCTCTTCACTGAAAACTATCTGAAAGAAATGGCCAAGCTCAGTTCACCTAGCAGTGACAGAGTTCCCATGGATGCAGTTACTCCTGGCAGACTGTAAAATGTGGCTCATGCCACTTGGGAAGTGACAGCGGCACAAACGTGCAAAGCAGCCTAAGACATTCATTGTTTCTACCGTGAATCTTGAGTACAGCACTGATGTTTTCAGAATGTTCTCGGTAAACATTTCAGGGGCACTTGAATACTGATGTCTAGTTTGTAGCCTGTCTTTTGGACCTCTTGTTTTTACTGTGTTTGTCAGTTTTACATTTCCTCTGCTGCTGAGCTTCACGTTTCTTGGTAGCATGCTGGTATTCACATCAGGTCTCCGTTTGACTAGATGAATAATTTGAACCATCATCAAACTCTTACTTCTTGCTCCCTGCCCACCTTCCGAGCCTATTTCTGCATTTGATGAATGGCAGAGATCCCAGCAGTTGCTCAGACCTCCCGACTTACTTACAAAACAGCGCGATTGCTGCTTCGGTGCATTTTCTGTCCTTTAAGCAAGTCATTAATGCACTAGAGGACCTTTGCTTTCATCCTTGACAGCCGTGGTTCTCTAAGAATATTTGCTAAGAGATCTTAGCAGAGGCCTTTGTGGAAGACCAACTGGATCAAGGATGAGCTGCATTTTCATAGCATTCTGCCAATGAGTGTGGAAACCTTGTTTTTGCAGCAGGAGAAAGTCACACAATGGTCACGGTCTTATCTCAGCATTGTCACCCGTCTAGTTAGATCCCCGCTGGCTTAAATAGGTATCACCATGGCCTTTCCCCAAAAGCAGCTGACCGCTCCAGAGAACCTTCCTAGATCTGGGGGCTTGATTCATCCCTAGAAAACCCATTGCAATCCTTACCCAGGTGTTTGATTTCATCCATTTCTTTCCAGTCTGAGTCACCATTCCTGGCTTTTTGTGTGGTACTTTAATAACATTGAGTGCTCCAGGTTTTCAGGGATGCACTTTTCTGAAAAAACAAGCAGGGAATTTTTCTTTCCCCTGCATCATTGTGAAAGAAAGATGTTGGAAGGGGGAGGGTGGTTTGGCTAGGGTGATTCACACACACAAAAGAATTGGCCGACAGCCCACATTCCAGGTTGATAGCCCTCAGAAGATTAGGGGGGGGGGGGAAGTGATGGGTTTTTTTCTCCTCGGGAAATGGCAGGTCACTCAACTTTTGCCCTGATTCAGGGAGGGGATGTGCGTGGAGGGATTCCGGGGTTTGTTTTGTTTTTCGGCGGGGTCATCTGCCTGCTTCTGGCCCCGGTCCACCTACATTCTCCTGCACCCTGTTCTGCCCCCAGCCTGGATTTGTTCAGATTTCATCGGAGAGGCTTGGCCCTTCTGTGAAGGAACCTTTGGGGGACCCCCGGCCAGAGCCAGCTGCTGACAACGTTAGTCTGTAGGAAGAGCCCTTTTTTTTTTTTTTTTTAATCCCTTTTTCCCCTTCCCCTTCTCGATGAGGGGGGAGATCTCCATTTCGGCTTCTCCCGGGGCCGCCACACCGCGACCGCCAGAGCCCAACAGCAGCCTTAGCCAGCCAGCACAGAGCAACTGCAGGCTCTGCTCCTCCAGTGACCCAACAGCGCCCCCCGATCGTGGTTAGAATTGCACCAAAAGGCGGCAAGTACTGAACTGGGGTGTTTTTTGAAGGGAACTTTGGCTGCAGAATTATTTAGATGTTTTTGTGTTCTTTTGTTGTTCTGCCAATACACAGTAAGGGCTCTTATCTTTTCTTTCTCCATACTTCCTCCATTGGAGCCTCTTAATTTCGAATTTACAATTGCTTGGAGGGAGGAGCTTGGTCTTCCTCATAGCTCATCCTCCTTAGCAAAACACTTCAGTCTCATTACACTGAGACACCGTAGCACCCCCAGCACCACGGGGTGAGCCCCTCTCAGCTCTGCATTGCCCAGGGCACAGCAGAAGGAGCGTGTGCTGGGCCTGGTACCTGAGAATGGCACAACTTTTCACCGCTCTGGGCTGGGGCTGCTGGCAGCAGATGCCTGCAGGTTGTGGCAATGAGGGAGAAAACATGGCTTTTAACACAAAAGGTGCTCTTATAGCTAAAACCATGACAGCTTGAGAGGGATGTCTGTACTCAACAGAAATGCTCTGCTCCAGAGCAGCTGCTGTGTCTTGCTGCACCTCAACCTTGTTCGGGGGCAAAGATGACATGTGGCTCTTCCAGGAACAGTGTGGTTGAGAAAAGTGATGGCCCAAAGGGATCAGGTGTCCTCCTAAGACTTGACCAACACATAGGGGCACACTGTGGCACCTTGTCTGTCCAGGGCAAAGGTACTGGCTGCTATGATGTCTCTAAACGGTGTTGAAGTGCTGGGTGTGCTCGTGGGCATGGTCTATTTGGATAGCAGTGACACATTAAAAAAAAAGAAAAAAAAGTAAAAGGGCTTTTCTGGAGGCAGATTTCAAACTGGTTACCTGGACGTTAAGGAGCAAGGGTTCCTTGCTTCCCTGATGTGCTCAAGGCTCATATCCACAATGAGGCAAACAGCTGGTGCTTGGCACACAGAAAGGTCTCAGTGTAAGAGGAGGTGGGGACACAGTTGAATGTGATGGCACACATTTGGGACACACAGACCAGCCAGGACACCCTCCCCACCTCATCGAAGGGCACAAGCACGGCAGTGGAGGAGGGACCAGAAGCAGCCAGATGACGTGGCCGAAAACAAAACTAACTCAGAACCTTTCTACACACACACACACTCCCTGAGTCAGGGCAAAGGTGGGGTGCCTACCGTTCTGGAGGAGGGGAAAAAACTTACCTCCCACCCCCCAGTCTTCTGAGGGCCATCAGCCTGGAATGCAGGCTGCAGCCAGTTCTTTTGTGTGTGTCAATCACCCCAGCCAAAAAAAACCACCTTCCCTCTCTCTCATTCAACATCTCTCTTTCATAATGATGCAGGGGAAAGAAAAAAAATCCCACTCGTTTGTTTTTTTTTGAACAAGTAAACCTATGACAGGTGGCTGAGGCTGGAGGGTGTATGGAGGATATTAGGGGAGGACTCTGGCCTCGGGGCCTGGAGGGGACAGAGAGATGCTGCTGGTCACACACTTCCCTCCCCATGCCAACGAGCCAGGAGTGTGTCTTTGTCCTGAGCAGACTGTGTAGGTTTGCACTGGTCCCCGATGGTGGTGGCCTACACAGCCATTCCCGGGCTGGCCCCACATCCAGCCCAGCCTCTGGGCCCCAGGACAGTTGCTACATCACCGGTGCTTGGGCTGCTGGTCCCTGCTCTGCCACTTGGGTAGTGGACCTTGTGAAGGGCTGGGGTGGCTGCAGGATTTGTGTGCTCCAGATTCAATGCTAAAAGCCTTAATTTTCAAAATCATTATGAGCCCAGGCTACCAGGATTGCATGTGTTACCAACTATTGTGTTCCCCTCTAGGTACAACCAGGTGGTCCAGCATGAATGCTCTACCACAGCTTCCCACTAAGTGCCCCTTAACTTGCTGTTTTTCTATTGATAGTCCTTTCACTCTCCCTCTGAGTTGCTTCCTGCATAAGTAGCAGCACCCACTCTCTGTACCATCAAGGTGTGTGATACTGCATGTAACTGTGTTTGAAATCAAGGTTTTCCAAGAGATACTATTTTTTCAGAGGCCCAGCTTGCACCCCAAAGGACATTGTCACCATCGCTTAGCTCTATTCCCTCCACTCTGTATTTTTGACAAATAGTTCCCTGAATTGACTCTATATTAATTCGTTTTTCCTACTTGTCATGCCCAATTTCTTTCTTCTCCACTCTGATGTCACCTTCCAACACCTTGCTCACATTAGCCTTTTTCTGTGATGTTAAGACACCTCTTAGCACCCTGTGATCAGCTTACTCAGAAGCTGTTCCCTACTTGTTTGGAGGTTTTTTAAATTTCTTTCCTAAAAGATGCCCACCAGTTCCAGCCACTTCTTGAAACCTGTGGCCAGATTCTGGGGGCCACAAGCCTCTTTTGGAGCAGTTGAAGCTCTCAGCGTGGTCCCCACCTTGCTGCCAGCCTTTCCCCACTGCAGTCATTGCTTGCTATTCCTTGCTGACAAACTTCCTCTGCTTCCTGCAGTTCCCCTTTGAGGATGTTAACCAGACTGAAGGTTGGATTTCTGATGGATTTCTCTGTCTCTCTCCCATCAGCCTTAGAGTACATTGCTGTCACTGCCCTAGAGGGACTCTTCAGTGACAACGGTGGGGTGCAGGTGTCACAGGCAGCACAGGTCTAAGCTGAAAATGTTTTTCCAGCCAGGTCTGGAGGCAGCAGCAGCCATGGAGCAGCTATGTGCCTGGGAACCCTGGTGTACCCTCTTTGGTTTCCTTCAGTTTTGTCTCTGATACAGCTGCTTCCACATATGAACTCTGGCACCCTGGTTCTAGCATCATGTTTTAGAGAAGCACAAGTATCTGCTTTTGCTCTGGTTCCTTATTTTTATGTGCCTCGTTAAAGCAGTTCTTCACTGCTTCCCACACAAGTGTTGTCACCTCCCGTCCTAGTCTCTAGTGAAGACTCAGGGGTTTTATGATTCCAGCTCACAGATGAATCATCTTATCTTTAGCCCCACTGCTTGGTAGTTACCTCCAGCATCTCTCTCCTACCTCTGTCACATAGGTACCTCTGTGGTGTCCCACTCCCTGGGCACTCCATGGACAGAGACCCCTTGCAGCCTGCAAGAGATTGCTCTGATAGCAAGTGAGAGCTGGTGCTTCTGCATCCATTAGGAAAGAACTAGGTTTTTTTGGTGTCGGCTTGCCTTCTTGTGCCTCACACAGTGCTCTCCACTGAGGCTGAGTTGCAAGATTTCATTTTTGGAGGCAAGTTGTTTATGCTGCTTTGTTTCCCTGCTCTTTCAGCCCTTCTGGGGATCGCTGTTTATTCTAGTGCTAGGAGAATGATTCCACAGCCAAACTCTTTACCTCATTGCACCTCTGTAACCCAGAGCTCTGCTCCCTTCACACAGGCCCTCTACCTGCCTGCATCAGCTAGTCCACACTCACCATGGGACACATGAGCTAAGCCTTGATGCTGGTCCAGTGTCTCCATTTGCCACGGAGACTGTAGATGGGATTCATATGTTCTTGGTGCCACCCGAGATGCCCCAGGGCATCAGATACCTATGGATTCCAACAGGAACCTATGACTACCCTGTCAGGAACTGATGCAAGGTGAGCTGCATTTCCCCTGGCATTCTGTCACTTGCACTTGTCCTCGGTCTCAGGTCTATGCCTGGTTTTGCTCTTAGCCCATCTCCAGAGATCCAAGAGCCTCCCCATCTTCCAAAAATACACATTTACAATGAGCACTTTAAAGCCAGAAATACACTGCAAAACCTTCCCTGTGTAGTTAAGGCCTAAATCACTTAGAAGCAAGTTCCAAGTTAAATGCAATAAGCTGCTTAGGCTGATAGAAGAGCATTTGCAGAGAAGTATGTCCACCAGGGTAAGGGAAACCTTTTGCACTCCCTGGCTTGGTTTATCTGCACACAAGCCCCTGGCTGTGCCAAGCCCAGCTGTACTAGAGCCCTGGAGCTCCCAGGACCCTGCAGACAAGCAAGGCGGGGTGCCAGGTCACGGAGGTGTGTGGGTTCCCCTGCCTCCTCCACTAGTGAGGCCCCAGCAAGGAGGGGTCCCGGCCCCAGTCCCTCCTGGAGGGCAGGCAGGGCCCTTGTCAGCCCAATGTTCCCTGCGCGCCACAGGTTTTCCTGCTGGGCCGCGGCCGTGAGGGATCTGTGTCAGGCCGGGGCAGGGCGAGGGGCAGGAGGAGGCCGTGGGGCGGGAGGTTGGCCGGAGAAGGGCGAGGGTGCAGGACATGGCCCCAGGGCGGGAGCTGGTGGGGTCGGCAGGGGATCAGGAGGGAGCCCCGCTGAGGGGCCCCGGGGGCGGCGGGCAGAGGGTCCCCGGAGCAGGAGGGGCGGCGGGCGGCGCCGGGCCGGCCGGTGAGGCGGGGGCCGCCGCAGTCCCCGCCCGCCGCCCACCGGGAGGGGCCAAGCGCCGTCGCCGCAGAGCCACCGCCGCCGGGCCGCGCCGGGCGATGCCGCGCCGGGCCCGGGGCCGCCTCCGCCGCCGCCCTGCGCCCCGGGGAGCCGCCCGAGGTAAGCGGGACCCCGGGGGGCCTGCGGGCCGGGCCTCCGCGGCCGGTGGGCAGCGCCCGCCCCCGACGAGGCCCGGCCGGCGTGGGCAGGGGGCTCTGGACAGGCGGGGCCGGGGGCGCTCGGGCACCCCGAGGGGACACGGCCCGGCGGGACGGCCCCACTCGGGCCCCGGGGTGGGCGTCCGTGCAGCGAGGCCGTGCAGAGCCGGGGTTTGGGGTACCCCCAATGTCTCCGGAGGCTCGGCAAGGCCGTGGAGTGATAGGTGGGTGAGCCCCAGCCGTGTTGCGCGCTCCAGATGTGCCACATCCGTGAGCTCGCCCCTAGCCCACCGGCCTCTGATCTCCCTGAGAGGCACCCGTGACTGGCAGGTTCAGGCTTGGCTGCCTCCCACAACATGCGAGGATGCTGCTGGGCCCAGGGATGCCCGACTGTGCCGGACACCTGCTCCCTCAGCCAGAAAGCAGGAGTTGAGGTAGCTTGTGCCCAGGGCCAGTTTCAGTACCAGGAGCATCCGTGTGCAGAGGTGACCATTAGCTGTGCAGTCTCCATCCTGCTCTCAAGCGCTTGCTCCATGGTCAAGTGCCACCCGCACACTGCCCACTGGATGACCAGGATGGTGTCCCAGTGCCCTTGCATGGCCCAGGTGTGGCTGAGGCGGGCTCTGCGTGGGCAGCCATCGTGCAGCACTGTGCCACACAGTCATCAGCCCAGCTTCATCCTCCATTTCATCCGGGGGGCTGGCTCCCCTCCAGAGCAGCTGCTGAGTTGTGCCTGGCGAGGCCCCGACTCTGTCCTCCCTCTCTGCCTCTGACAGCAGCTGCCTGCAGCTGTGCTTGGTCAGGGGGAGGGAGTCTGACAGTCCTGGTGACAGTCCAAGGCAGGCAGGGTCCTTTTGGGGATGGTGCTTTGCTCTGCCCCAGCCCAGGAAAGCTGAGCATCCCGACAAAATTGAGGGCCTGTTGCAGAGCTCCTTGTGTCTTGGAGCTGTGGGCTGGTGTTGCTTTTTCTTGCTTTCAATTTATGGTGTTGGGGCAGGGTGGGAATGGGCAAACAGCTCTTGGGGACCATGAACCTGAAGGAAACTGAATATTGGGCTGATTCCTTCCCTCCCACCCCACAGGACAGCTGAGAATAACGAGACTAAAAAGAACAGTCCTGGATCATAGCAGTTAAGGGCCTGCTTGGGTTAAATGCATAGTTGTGATCTTATGTGCCTTGGGGGGGGAAATATAACCAGTGTCCCCAGATGGAAAGTCCCATGGAAAATAAGGCACATATCCTTCAGGGTGGCAGAGACTGTCAGCCAGTGTGATGAGCTACCAGAAGATGCAGTGGCATCCCAAATGCTTGAAGTGTCCCAAGTGTCCAGCCTGTCCCAGTATGTGCAGCCTAGGAACTGGGCTTCAGACATCATGTGCCACCAGGATGGCCCGGTCAGGAGTCTCAGGAGCACTTTGGCTAGAAGTCTGCAGGTTTGGAACAAACCAGGCACATAGGATGGTTGAAATCTATGAACATACCCCCCTCCCTTCTTTCAGCCATCCACAGCTGTTGGGGAGAGGGCAGCAGAAGGGCGCCCAAGGGTGAGGATAGGAAATCTCAGCAACTCCCTGACAATCCTGCCTGTTCCTCTGTGCAGGATGGTTCCCCCACCGCCTGTCAGCAAGCCCCACGTGTGCCTCTCCACTGTGCTCATCATGACCAGCCTCGTCCTCATGGATGCCTACCTGGTGGAGCAGAGCCAGGGCTCCAGGAAGTTGGGCATCTGTGTCATGGTGGCAGTGGGTGACTTGTGCTTCCTGCTGGTCCTCCGCTATGTGGCCATCTGGGTCGGAGCAGAGGTAAAGACAGCTAAGCGGGGCTATGCCATGATCCTCTGGTTCCTGTATGTCTTCGTTCTGGAGATCAAAGTCTACTTTGTGTACCAGAATTATAAAGCTGACCGGAAAAGCTTGGATCTCATAGCCCGCAAAGCATTGACCTTGCTGCTCTCCATCTGCATCCCAGCCCTCTACGTGTTGTTGGTGGCCACAGAGCACATGGAGTATGTCAGAACATTCAAGAAGAAGGAAGATCTCCGCAACCGCCTCTTCTGGGTCATTGTGGACATGCTGGATGTGCTGGACATCCAGGCCAACCTGTGGGAGCCTCAGAAGAAGGGGCTGCCACTCTGGGCCGAGGGCATCATGTTCTTCTACTGCTACATCTTGCTGCTGGTCCTCCCGTGCGTGTCCCTGTGTGAGATCAGCATGCAGGGCATTGGCATCGTGCCGCACCGGATGATGCTGTACCCCATGCTGAGCATGCTCACTGTAAACATCACCACCATCTTCATCCGAGGCAGCAATATGATCTTCTTCAGGGACGCCCGGGTCTCCAGCATCTTCATGGGCAAAAACATGCTGGCCATTGGGATGAAGGTCTGTATGTTTGTGCAGTACCAGCGGCACCAGCACCACACACCCCCGGGGCCAGACCTACAGCACAGTGAGCCAGCCCAAGTGCCCACAGGGCTGCGCAAGTCCCGGGACCAGCCTGCCTGCCCCGAGGAGCTGGCCCGGGACAACACGTGACAAGCCGGCAGGAGCTACAGCCTGGGCACCACCATGCCTGGCCGTACCTACAAACCAGAGGCAGGCTGCTGAGCTCCCCGCCTGGACAGAGGGCAACGGCCCTGCTCCCTCCCTCCCAGAGCGAAGCTGCTCGGGGCCCCGAGGGTCGCATGGCGAGGGCCCCCTGTAATGGCCTCCGTAAGGCTGCAGAGCAGTTTGAGACCTCAGCACCACACCAAGTGAAACAGGCAGCAGAGCAGAGGAGGAGGCCAGGGTTGCCTGCCAGGTGTTGTGTCTGGCTGGGGCCAGGCAGCCCTATCTTGTGCCAGGCTCCCCCACCAGTGCTCCCCATACAGCACTGCCCTCTGGCCAGGCAGGGCACCACACAGGGACACAGCAGGTCACCTGCTTTGCTGTTGTGGTTGGCCCTGGCTCTGGTGTGGTCCTTGGCAGCAACCTGCTCCTCGCTGTGTAAGCCAAGGTCCCTATGCACGGGGAGCAAGGCCTAGGCCTTCCCCTGCTGTCACCCCTCTCAGCCAGCTGCAGGCCTGGGGGACCCAGAGAGGGGTGACTGTCCTTTTTTGTATCACCCTCTTTGCAATAAAAGACCTGAGCCCTGCAGCCTTCTCATGTGTGTGTCCCTGCCAGCAGGCAGATCCCCCCGCTGCTCCTGTGGGTGCATGTCCCTTGTATGCCTGTAAGTCCAGCTGCAGAGCATGTGGAGAGGCTCCCTCAGTGACCACCTAGGCCTGGGGAGAGCATCCCAGATACCTGGGTCTGAAGCCATTCCTCCTTGCCCGCACTTAGGAGAGGAGAGGCAGGTCCTTGTGAGAGTCAGGTGGGCTCTGAGGGTGTCACTGGGGGGGTAGGTGTGGCAGCTTTGTCAGTCACCACTGCATGTGCAACCAGCTGCAGTTACATCAACTGCTACCAGTCGTGCTCGGGGACACCCATAGCAAGTCCCCACACTCCACCTGGAGGGACATCAGTGCAGGTCTGGCAGGGACACATTGCCTGAATCACTTTAGAAACAAGGAAAATAACCCAGCTACTTGAGGCTGGGAGGCTACAGGAAAGAGCAGCTCCCTGGCAGTAGGAGGCTCCGTGGAGATGGTGGAAGCATCTCCTCTTGGAGCTGGTGTTGCCATGCTGCTGCCCGCTCAAATACCCAGCGACACCTCACCACTGGCTGAGTTGGGCAATGCCCCAGGACTTCCCCTGCTGCGGGGTGCTGGGCCCAGGAGCTGCACGTACAGAGGCCAGCAGGCTCACTCCTCACTATTAACGTGCAGAGCAGAGGCGGGTGACATCCCAGCGAGGATGCTCTCCTTGCAGGCTGTCTGGTTTTAAAAACTCAGCGGGGAGAAAAGAAGTTAAGACTGCTCAAGCCACCCCTTACAATGGTGGAGGGGGAAAACAAAAAAAACCCCAAAACTGCGAGAGGTTAAAAAACGTTAGTCACAATTTTACTGAGGTAAAACAAATAACAATATAGAGGAAAAAGAATGGTTTACCCACAAAACCAACAGAGGTAAAAAATTGTTACGTGCCCCCCACCCCGAGGGCAAAACCAAAAGAAATGGTTCCCTTTCCCCCTGCGCCGGCCCCACGTGGCCCAGGGGAACAAAGAAAACACTGTGGCGAACGAATCCCCACGGTCCGACGCCCTCCCCAACCAGGCAAAAACCACGGGGGAAACACGGACAAAACAGAAACCTGGAAGGAGTTATGCTGCCGAGGTGCTGGCGTGGGTCCCGGTGCAGCGGCGGCGTGGGCGCAGGGGCCTCTTAGTTGCCGGCTGTGCGCCTGGAAAAAGCGGCGGTGGCAAAAACGCGTCGGCGGATTTCAAAAGCGGGAAGCTGCGATCCGCTAAGGGATTGCGCAAACCCCGGGAGCGGCGTGCGGTCCAGGGCCGCCCGCTCCTTCTGAAGGTGCGGAAACTCCGCTTCCAGTAGCCGCGGCGGCTTTCTCTTTGTATTGAGCAACCACACAGTCTTGGGACCCCCGATCTTACATCCTCTCTCCAGAGCCGGGATGTAGCAGGCGGCGGCACGGTGCAGGGTCTCTCGGTGCCTGCAAAAATAGCTGCGGAGAGACTCCGTCGGGACGGGGCCACTCCCTCCCTTTGGAGGAGCAGCAGACGGCATTCCCGGTGGCACCGAGAAGCCATACGGTCTCCGGGATCCCAGTCCTGCATCCTTGCTCCTGCGGAGCACGCCACGAGCACCTCACAACCTAGGACCACCTGAATTTCCACTGGCTCGGCGTGTTTATCGTGGAAACCACGCCCGCTCGCTGTGATGCGGGTGTATTGAATATTCAACACTAAAGCTCCACCCCTTTGCTTTGTAACCATAACACAGTAAGACACACAGGCCTCAGCAGGAAGATGCCCTTTGGCTCCAGAGGGGCAGGAGGACAAAGCAGGACCACTTTGGGGGTCTTCCTGTACAGGAACTATGAGCACCAGGGCATGGGGACACGTACTCAGAAATGCTTGAGGAATGCCACATGGCCCCTCAGCAAGGCTGTGGCAGCAGGTCTCAAGCCAAGCTGGCACATCCCATTTCTACTGCCTTCCCCCAGTCCCCTTAAGACCTGTCACCACAGCATCACCCACAGGAACTGCAGTGGAAGCAGGTGCTTTAGCAACAGCATCAGGCCCACTGAGCTGCTCACTGTTCCATGTTTTGCTTATATCAAGGCCTGTCCCCTGGCCCCACACAACTGTGGCCCACCCACACACAGCACAGCAGTGCCCAGGCAATGCCCTGTCCTCCAGAGCCAAGGCACTCTCACAGCACCCACTCCGACCTGTCAGACAGGGATCATCCAAGTCACCTCCTTATCAGCACAACCACAGCAGACAGGGGCAACCCGAGCAAGGAGAAACATGAGAGCTGGTTCCCCTAAGTTCTAACACTTTTGACTGTAACAGCACCAATTCTGGGAATAAAGGAAAACCAGTATTTTATTTCATACAGGATCAGTTTCCCAGAAGTACTAACAGCCCTGTAGAGACAACCTTGAGAAGCCAAGCTGCTCTGAAGAGGAGATAATGAGTAGCAGTAGCTGAGCAGTCAGCAGCATGCCCCGTGAGAGGAAGGCCAGCCTCACCTGGGTCTCTGCATCACTAGGTACAGCCCATGCAGAGCAGTGTGATCCTCTTCCCTTTACTCAGCCCTTGTGAGAGTTAGTGAGTCCTTGCTAGAGTTAGAAATGAGCAGGTGCAAGGACAAAAACAGCTGTCAACACCATAAGCATCTGCATCACGCATTTGTCACCACCCATGGTCTAAACCACAAGCTAAGAGGATATTTCAGCTACAAAAAACTCACTATTTCCTTCAGTTCAGCCTCTGCTCTGCTGCCTTACAGCATCACTGTGCAGTGGAAGGCAGATACTGGGAAGGATGGCCATCTTCCAGGCCTGGCCAAGGCAGAAAGAGTCCCAGTGCCAGACAACAGCACGTCTGTCCAACGTCACAAGCTCTTCTGTGAGGGTAAACGGCGCTTGTCTTTGATGGCATTTCTCTTCCTCTTCTTGCTCAGGAAGCTCTCCAGCTTTCCGCTCCTCTTCAGCTCTGCATACTTCTCAGCCAGCTCCAATTTCCGCTTCTCAGCTGTAGAGGAGCAAAATTTTAAACAGAAGCCCAAAACACCTCTACAGACCAGCCCGTCCTCACCTCTCCCTCCCTGGCTCCCAGGCTTAGCTTGCCCCTTGAGTACCAGTACTAGAACAATCCCTCCATGGCTCTGTGGAATAGTATGGAAATCTCACTTCCAGTGCTTGAATTCCTGTCAGCAGTACTTCCTCTAGGTCTTCCTGCAGCATGCTCACACTGAATACTTACATTTCTTTAGGAAAAAGGGTTTCTTTCCCTGCTTGGCCAATTCCCTCTGTTGTCTCTTCAAAGACAGCTCTCTCTCCCTCAGCTGCTGCTGTTTTTTCTGTGCCTGTTCTTGCTGTGTCTGTACAAAAAAGATGGCCTGTGTCAGCATTGAGGCAGACCTCAGGTCACACGTCCTCTCTTCCAGTGCCTCACAGAGAGATGCTGTGCTGAACTCACCATACGGTTCAGAAGCTGCTGAAGTTTCTCCTTTTGCTCTGTGTTCCGGCATTTCTTCAGCTGCTTCTGAACCATCTAGAAGAAGAGAGCAGAAAGCTGCATGACTGCCTGTCTGTCATTGCCACTGTGAAAAGCCTTTGAAGAAGTAGCCTCTGCCAAGCAAGGTTCTTCCAGGCAAGGACAGGCACAGAGCATCACCTCCTTCTCCTGCTTCTTGATGCTGTCCAGGAAGCTGTACGTCTTCATAAATATTTCAGGCTTATACTCTCCAGACAAGTCATCAAATCGAGGGTCTCTGTGGACCTGAGGGCAAGGAAGGTAAAGACAAGAGCTGTAGCCAGGATTACCCTGTTAATAGCCTGCTTGCTCTCCTTTCACGGATCAGACCTTGCTATTTTTTTCCACCAGCAATATTACACACCAACCACTGAAACATCTGCAGTTGGCAAAGACCAAGTGGGATGATTAAGGTGGCAGGCCCTCACGAAGTCATGCCTGCATCCAGTCTACCAAGCAACAGATATTTCCATGTGCAAGTCTACACCCAGGAGTATCCAATTCAAGGAGCAGGAGCGCTACCTCCAAACACTTGCAACTCCCAGACCAAGAGTGGGCTGAATATGTGTTGTCAAGGTGATGGATTTCGGAACTCGAACCTATCTAGATTTTCACAGATTAACTAGCTCAGGTCATACAAAAAGGGAGAGACAAAAAGAGATCTCTAACTGCAGAAATTAACATATCCAGATGATCCAGCAATAACAAGTCAAAGTTACATTCAGATTAGAATGTAGATGGACATTTGAACTCCTGAGATTAGTTCTGAGCAATGACCATGGCATGCAATAAAACTGTCACTGGTGGAAGTCACTATATCTTCTAGAAACACCTGGGCACTGAAGTCAACCTGTAGCTGCTCCTGCACCCATCCCTTCTTCTCCCCAGGGAAACATTATCACTGTCTGCACTCACCAGTAGTCCAGCCCTGTTCTCCAGAATGGAGATGCCTGTGCCATCTGCAGCAGCCCAATTACCATGTGTGTGCCCTGTCAGCATTGCTACGGGAAGTCAGTTCCTGAACTGGGGAGGGGGAGCACCCACCTTCTTCCTAACAGAGACGACTTGCCGCAGAAAAGGCACAGGCTTCTTGGCAGACATCTCTAATGGCCTGAAAAGGAGAGAAATGTATTTAAGAGGAGCAGATGTCATAATGAGGCCCAGGCTAACATGTCAAGAGGTTAGTCAAACCCTCAGAAGAACATTACTGCACCACAGAGTCCCCCAACTCAATCCTCCCCACACCTACAGAGAGCAAAGAGGTGACTCAATCAAGAGACACAGAAGGCTAAGGCAACCAAATGTATAAACGTGTGGTTAAAACAACCCTACACAGAACTTGTATCAAGTGAAAACCCACCACCTGCATCAGTAAATATGCTGTACTCGATTACTTCTCTCATAGTCACAGAATGGCTGGGGGTGGAAGACACCTCTGGTGGTCTCCACTCTGCAAAGCAGGTTAACCTAGACAAGATTGCACAGGATTGCATCCAGGTGGATTTTGAATACCTCCAGAGAAGGAGACTCCACAACCTCACTGGGTAGCCTGTTCCAGTGCTCAGTCACTCTCACAGTAAAGAAGTTTTCCCTCACAGTCACACAGAACTCCCTCTGTTTAACTTTGTACCTGTTGCCCCTTGTCCTGTCACTGGGTACCACTGAAGAGAGCCTAGCCCCATCCCCTTTAACACATTTGTAAGCATTGATAAGGTTCCCCGTCATCTCTTCTCTAGAATGAACATGCCCAGCTCCCTCCATCTGTCCTCAAAAGAAAGGCGCTCCAGTCATTTTTTTGCCCTCTGCTGGACCCACTCCAGTAGCTCTGTTGTCTCCCCTGTCCTGAGGAGACCAGAACTGGACACAGCACTCCTGATGTGGCCTGGCCAGGGCTGAGAATAGGGGCAGGATCACCTCCTTTGACCTGCTGGCAAGGTCAAAGTCCTAATGCACTAATGCAAGTCCTAATGCACTCCAGGATCCCATTGGCCTTCTTGGCCACAAGGGCACTGCTGGCTCATGGACAGCTTGTCCACCAGGACCCCCAGGTCCTTCTCCACAGAGCAGCATTCCAGCAGGATGGCCTCCAGCATCTACTGGTGCTTGGACATGTTCCTCCCCAGGTGCAGGACCCTGCACTTGTCTTTGTTGAACTTCAGGCTGTTCTTCTCTGTCCAACTCCCCAGCCTGTCCAGTTCTCGCACAATGGCAGCACAGCCCTCTGGTGTACCAGCTTGCTGAGGGACACTCTGCCCCTTCATCCAGGTCACTGACGAATAAGTTGAACAATGCTGGACCCAGCACTGACCTCCAGGGACACCACTAGTGACAGGACTCCTACTAGTCTATTGCATCTCTGATCACGACTCTCTGAGCTCTGCCATTCAGCTGGTTCTCAATCCACCTCACCATCCATTCATCTAATCCACACTTCCTGAGCTTGCCTATGAGGATGTTAGGGAAGACAGCGTCAAAAGTCTTGCTGAAGTCAAGGTAGACAACAGCCACTGCTCTCCCCTCAACCACCCAGCCAGTCATGCCATCACAGAAGGCTATCAGATTGGTCGAGCAAGATTTCCCCTTTGTGAATCCATACAGACTACTCCCAAAAACCTTCCACGTGCTTAGAGATGACCTCCAGAATAAGGCTCTCCATCAGCTTTCCAAAGATGGAGGTGAGGCTTACTGGTCTGTAGTTTCCCGAGTCCTCCCTTCTTGCCATTTTTGAAGACCAGAGTGACACTGGCTTTCCTTCAGACCTCTGGCACCCCTCCTGCTCTCCATGCCCTTTCAAAGATGATGGAGAGTGGCTGAGCACTAACATCTGCCAGCTCCTTCAGCACTCATGGATGCCAAAGTAGGGAATTTCTGCACTGACCTGGAAGTTGCAAAGACAGGTCAGGCTCAGCAAGAAAGCACACCTTAATACCAGTAAGGAAAAGGTGTCAGCTGCAGGATAAAGGGCTGCACAGTGTGTGGCACGTATCCCAGAACAGACTTCACAACGAATCAGGATCATGACAATCAATGAAGGGAAAAAGTTTTCCTTGCGACACAGGCCTTAGAGCTTGATGTTGCGTTCCGTGATTTGTCAGGTAAGGTATCAGAAACATGAAAAACCTGCTGAGAGCACCCACAGCGTGGGCATCACACCCACAGTCATCCAACACTGGGGCAGGAACATAACCACCCAGGTGTAAGTTTTCAAATCCCATTTAGGGCAGCGTTCAGTGCATTTTCATGTCCGCTGATGTGGCTACACCCCTGTACAAGGCTCCCGAGTCAGCCTGATACAACACTGCTGAAGCCAGCTCAGTGCCAGGGGATTTCCTTAAAGTCCTTTCTTTAAGAAGCTCACTCCCATAACAAAAACACAAGAGAAACAACAGGTGGGATTTAACAGCAATACATCGCTTAAAGGATTAGGGGAATTAAATAAAAGCAGAATTATGCAAACTGTGTGGCAGAAATCAGAGACGCTGTGTGAAGATGCTCCACATCTATAAAATCCCCCAGAGCCTTGGGTAAAAGGAAAAGCAGAAACATTATTCTAATCAACTGTTTATGGCAGGAGAAACATGTATTAAGCAGAGATTCAGAAACAAATTAGGGAGCGTCAGTGTAACAGATCAAATCACTTGAATGCAACTCTGAGGACTGAAAACTAGCTAAATACTGCAAATAAAGAGTAAGAGTATTGCTGTTACTAGTGGGAGTCTGTGGAGAACTGTAAAAAGATCTGATAGTTTTTGTTGTGCCAAGTACAGGAAAAAGTTTGTGATGTTCTCCCTCTGTAGAGAGGGGAAAAAAGGAAAACGAACACAGACAAGTCACAGATGAGACAACAGCAGGATGAATGAAATTCCAGAACAATTGGCTGTGACTGTAACTCCAGCCAGCGGGAGCAAGGCAGAAGGTGCTGATAAACTGGAAGGGGTTTAGAAACCAGCAGGGTAACTATTTCAGGTCACAGTGGACATTATCATACAGCTTGAAAGGCACACCATGCTGAGGGTTACAAGCGCTTTAACACAGAGGGCACAAAGGCATTGAGTGCCAATTCAACTGTCAGATAACAGGTGGCTGCTGGGGATTTGAACAGGACAGGATATTAAGAGCTCTGAAAACAGCACCAGACCGTTCCCAAATGAAACACTATAGTAACAGGCATTATTGTCTAGTACATTAAAGGAGATCTATGCCAGCTCCAAGGCAACACCACACTGTGAGGAGTTCCCACTGCAGTTTCTGGAGGCAGAGGGCATACACGCACATTTTTCTGATCACAAAAATGCCTCTTTACCCCTTTTTGCCTTGTTGCTGCTTCAGCATAGCTTTGGTAGGTTTTGAAGTTTTCTTTCCACTGGTCATCTGTTTGCACACTCTTGTTCTTGCATCACTCTGCATCTGCAGCAGTTCCTCAAAAGACATGTCAGACTGATCTGGAAGAGAGCACAGGACACACCTAAACTGAACAGCTTCTCAAGGCACTTCTCACTTCCAAATTGCACCAACAGGGATGTCTCAGAGCCTGAGGTAGTGACACAAGCACAGTTGGTGTCATCCCTACACAACTGCGTGGCAAAAAGAAGCCTCTGCATTTCTCAGGCTTTGATTCCTCTCTCATTAATTACTTCAGTCTTTACCACTGGAATAGTCTCCCCCTCACCCCAATGCGTCTTTGCTTCTCTCTCCACTCAATAGTACAGAAAAGACCAGTACAAAGGTTTTACCTAGTACAAAGAGCAGTATGAGCTCTGCACTGGGTTATACTTTGGCTGCATTGCATATTCTGAGGGGCCATCTCTAAGTCCCGACTCTCCCACTTGAACACTGTTGTTCCATTCCTTTCAATGGGCATCATCACACCTCTCACACCACGAAACCAGCCAAGAGGTGAAAGCCACGTAGGTTATTCAGTCTGTTAAAATTTGGAGACAAACTCCCCACTGCACATCTGCCATTGCTCTGCTCAGTCAGCAGTGGAGCAGTTCCCACAGCAGACTCTCCTCAACACACCAGGGGCCTGTGAACTACTGAAATCTAGACATTCAACCTTCACCACTCACTGCCAACAGGAACAGTTTACAGCCTGATTCACTGGGGAATAAAAAACCCCACAACACCAAAAGGCAGTTTCATATTCTAGCCTTGCTCGGAGCTCCCCAGAGCATTATTGATATCATGTTTCATAAAATGTTCCTTCTCTCCTCTGACTGCTGACAACACAGGAAACAACAAAATCAATTCTACCCAAGGCGCTAATGAATGCACAATATTCTACTGGAATTGTCTGTTGCTATGTTTCTTTAATATCCCTCAGTGTTAGTAACCTTTAACACTCCTTATAACAGAATGTAAAAATATTATCAATGATGCTTTCTGGATTTACTCGTCTGGGTGTTCAGAACTAACAACTGAAACATTTTTTAAGTCAGCACCAGGATATGCTCATTCTGTTCTCTCACAGGGGCAAGACGGGGTTTATACTTGCTCCTTTCCAAAAGGGAAAGCCTTGGCAAACTGACTTGGGTGGTGTTTGCCTGCTCAACACCTCTGAGCAGTGACAGGCACATGGCCTTTCTAAGCCTTTGTGATACTAATGTGTTTGTCACAGAACAACCCAACTGTGGCCCAGCAGGAACAATCACAACCTGCCTGTGGTACATTGGCCTTGGCTGGGTGCCAGGTGCCCACCAAGCTGTTCTATCACTCCTTTCCTCTGCTAGACAGGGAAGACAAAATACAACAAAAGGCTCACGGGTTGACATAAAGGCCAGGAGAGATCACTCACCAACTGCCATCACACGGGCAAAACAAACAGATTGGGACGCAGTTCTTCACGAACTGCTCCAACGTGGGTCCCTTTCCACAGGGTGCACTCCCTCAGGAACAGGCTGCTCCAGCGTGGGTCCACCACAGGGTCACAAGTCCTGCCAGCAAACCTGCTCCAGCTTTTCATGGGGGCACCTCCACCCGCTTCAGTGTGGGGTCCTCCATGGGCTGCAGGGGCACAGCACCATGGGCTGCACCACAGGCTGCAGGGCTATCTCTGCCCACCCACCTGAAGCACCTCCTCCCTCTCCTTCTTCACTGATTTTGGTCTCTGCAGGGCTGTTTCTCTCACATATTCTCACTCCTTTCTACCAGCTGCTGATCTGCAGCAGGGCTTTTCCCCTCCTTAGATGTTACCACAGAGGTGCTACCGCTGTTGCTGATAAAAGCCCCTGGCCACAGCTGAGCTAATGGGACATGTGAGAAGCTTGTAGCATTCTCTCACAGAAGCCACCCTTGTAGCCCACTCTACCAAATCCTTGCCACGCAAACCCAAAACGCTGCCCATGAGCAAGGTTTCTGTGTGCCTTGCCAAATTCAGGAAGTGACATTTGATCAGTCACATTGGCTCAGACCATGGACTTATTATCCCAGTCACTCTCATCCTGGCAATAACTAAGACCTTCTGTTTCAGAAACTACTCTCATCATCCAGGAAACATAATGGGCACAGCCATGTGTTGCCTCAGGAAATGTTTTCTTTTTGCTTGTTCTGAATGCTCATGAACTCTGGCTCTGTCGATGCTCATTAGACCTCTGAAGTAGGCTAAAGGAACGCCGTACCTCCAGTCTGCTACACAAAGGACAAAAGAAATGTGAAGACAGCATGATTTCATCACACTACTTCCCCAAAACACCCTTCCCCCTTACCTTACTGCAATCTGACATCCTCTCTTGCTTGGACACCCTTGCCCCTGCCTTCTTAGCGATGACTGCACCATCACTCTTTCTGATCTCCACCTTTTCCCTTGTCACTTGTGTACAATCACTTAATGTCTGCCTAGAATGTACAATCCTCTTCAGACCAGTGAGCTTTGCCTGCACTCAGGCATGAGCAGAGTACCACGCAGCTCAGCAATTTACATTAATCTTGCTATTGGGGTTCACAGGAACATAACAAAACCAACAAATTCATGGACAAGAGGATCTGCCACTATACTGGACAAATTTTGGAAAAATCTGTGCTAATTATACAAGTTACTGGAGGACAAAGCAATTAATCTCTACATATGGCAATATTTGATACTCAAAGCATCACCGGGCACACAAATGAAAGATTCTGAACAAGGACAATGAAAAGGGCAAAGAAAGCTCTAAAGGAAAAGAAGAATGATGTGGAAGATACTCTTAACAGTGGATGAAGACAGACAAGATGCCATCACTTGCACTACAACACTCCATTTGGCTGCAATTCCAAAACAATACTGTTTAAATAGCAAAGGTTTACATGATGCTACTAAAAACAAGATAGACACCATGTAAAGAGATGCAAAGGATTAGAAAAGATATTTGGTATAAGTCAGAGAAAGCAAAGGCATACAGAGCTTCCACTGATAAAATATTTCAATATTGGTACAGGTGACCAGACTTGACTACCCAAAACCTAATGGGGATGATTTCCACACAGTCCATGAAATACACTCCATTCGTAGGAAATTAAATAAGCCACTCACATTCATAAAAACATCACAGGACATAAAAAGCATGGTTTTGGGTAGAAGTGAATGGTCCTAGAAGATGTTCACTGCTGGGCAGCAGATTTGGCAACTGTGTGTGTGAAAAGGCCCCAGTTAAAAAGACGGGATTAGCTTATTTCCCTTGTTTCTTGCATTCTTTCCTGAGACCCTAATTTCCCTATTTTTCATTTATTTTCTCCCCTAGAATATAACTTACCTTTTCTGTTCTGTCTCTGTAGTCCATTTTCATTTTTTCCTCCTGCCATTTTTTCCCTTCATCCAGTATTTTGTGGATTATTTCCTCTGTTTTGCACCTCTTGATAAGCTACTGTTACCTACTGATAACAGGGACATTTCCTGCTCAGGAGCACAGCCTCCTCGTGTTTCCTATCCTCCCACAGACTCCTGTGACACATGGACACCTTATGCCTTTCTCAGCTGAACCTGTAGAGGGCTGTACGACCTGCTGAGCACACCAGTGTCCAGGATGCAAGAACAGATGGCCGAAAAAATGGCTGATATCTGCCCAGTTGTTCCCTGCTGAGACAAAATTAGTGCTGGACTCAAGTATAACTCCTTCTGCTCCAAAAGCAAGATTACAGAGGGCCCTGACAGACGGCAAAAGTAAAACTGCTGTTCCCGCTCACATCCAGCTGTGGAAAGCAAAGGGTGCCTGTCCATGGTCTTCTCTCTGAGCCTTGCTAAAGGTCACTATTTCCTCACCAGAACAAAACAAAACACCTACAACAGATGGTGGGGCACCTTGCCAGTGACTCCTCACACCTGTGTCATGCAGCGTGTTTGACAACGGTGTCCATTCCCTCGGTTTTGTTCAAAGGCCTTTGCTGTACTTTTCATTCTCACCTGGATCATTTTGAGATGAGGAAACCACACTGTGCTCACCACTGTGGATGAGAACCACCACCTGCACACCCTGAACCTCAGCCACGCACCGCCCGGTTTTCCCACTCCACATGTCCTGGTGAGGCCCTCCGGAGCTCCTCCGCGTCTGAATTTGCACAGAGCAATTGCCCTTGCGATGTGCGAGATTTTCCACAGTAGAAGGTGTCCCTGCCCACGGCATGGGAGCTGGAACTGGATCTTTAAGGTCTCTTCCAACGCAAGCCACTCTACAGTTCTGTGATTCCACACATGGGGAAGGCGACGACGGGGAAGAGACCCCTACGTGGTTTTTGTTCCAGGGACCTCTCACGCATCTCCAGCGCACACCCTGCTGCGATCCCGAGCTCATCCGCCGATCGGAGCAGGTGAGGGAGGGATGCAGGACTTGGAATACGAAAGGTGACCGAGCCATTTGCCGAATCGTTTCCCACTGAGCGGGCGGCCGCGACCCCCCGATAAGCGCTGAGGGCGCCGCCCGTACCGGGGGCGCTGCCGCCGGGCCCCCCCCTCACCTCTCCCGCCGGGCCCCCCCTCACCTCTCCCGCCGGGCCCCGCCGCCTCCGCCTCCTCGGCCCCCGACACGCTCCCGCCGTCGTCACTGTCGCCATCGCCCTCCACCGCCTCCAGCCTCCCGAGCGGCTGCTCCAAGGCCGCCTCTTCCTCACCCTCCGTGGCGGCGGCGGCGACTCGTCCCCGTCCCCCTCCCCCTCCCCGTCCCGCCCGGTCCCGGCGCGGCCGCATCGCCCCCACCCACGGCCCCCGCTCCCGGAACCGGAACCAGGGCACGCCAGAGAGTCACGTGGGGGAGCGGGTTTATTGGCGTCCTTTTTAAAAAGCGAAAAAAAAAATCATTCCTTTGCGAGGAACCGGTCACGTCTGCACTCTGGTGATGTCCAGCTAATTCGCCAGTAAATCGTAAAGTGCACGATCGAGATCCCTCTGCACTGCCGAACTGAGTCATCTTGATGCTGGATTGTACCACGGCCTGGCCAAAGTTTCTAACAGGAGCACCAGCTGTGTAAAATGAGCGTGTGCCATCGCCTTCAACTGCGTCAGCTGAAGCTCTGAGCAGTGACTGTCTGAAAGGAGATGGGCTTACACACAGTAGTCTGCATTAGGAGAGGTACAGTCAGCACACCAAGGGATGTCAGTGTCTCTGTAGACTTGACAACTGGGAGGGCACGCTTGGAATGTTGCATCCAATTTTCTCACTGCTCCCCAGTTAAAAGGAGAGGGGAGGAAGTGGGAAGGGTCCAATAGAGAGTTCCCAAGACAGGCAGAGGCATCGGCATCGCCTTCCTCGGGAAGGGGCGGGGGCCGTGGCGCGGGGGGGGCAACGGCGGGCGGCGAGAGGCTGTCGGCGAGGGCGCGGAGCTGCGCGGCGAGGCGGCCGAGCTCCGGGTCAGCCGGGGCGGTGCGGGGCTGCCGGGAGCGCAGGTGGGCCGCCTCCTCCTCCCTGCGGGGACAGGCGGTCAGGGGCGGCAGGGGATGCACCGGCCCCCGCCACCCCCCCATCCCCCCGGAGCCCCCTCACCTGAGGCAGGTGCAGGTGCAGGAGATGCAGCGGCCCCCGCCGTCCCGCCTCGCCCACACTCGCAGCCAGGCCCAGGCGCGGTCCCGGCGCAGCACCCGCAGCACCGCGGCCTCCGAGGCGGGCCCGGCGCCGGCCCCGAGCGCTACGGGCAAGGGAAGCGACTGCGTTAGGCGGCGGCCCGAGCCGGCGGCAGCCCGCCTGGACACCCCCCAGTCTGCCCTATGAGGTCTGCAGGCGGTCACTGCTCTGGCCCCAGCGCCACAGAAGCCGCGCAGAGAGGAGTCAGGCCCGTGGAAGTCCTGCCCCCTGAAAGAGCTGGAGTTTAAGGGGGCTAGTCCTCTCCTCTGTGCACTGTGGCAAAGCTTCCCAAGCTTGGAAGCTACCTGTGACAGGGTGTGACCAATTCCCTGCCTCCTCCTTTTGGAGCAGGGAGTCTCAGTGGGCAGGACTGAGTTCGATTTGTGTCTGCTGTCCCGGATAGACATGTTTCAGGCATAGCCAGACCACGTAGTCAGAGGACCGTACACACGTTCCCGGGCCCAACACTCACCCACGGCCCTGTGCTGGGCAGCTGCCAGATCAACATCCTCAGGGTGCAGGAGGCTGTACCAGGACTGACCGACCAGCTCCTCCTTGCGGTAGCCAAGGTGGTAGGTGACACTGGGGGAGGCAAGGGGAGTGGGGACTGAGTGCCATACAGAGTCCGCACTCTGTCAGCAAGGAGCAGCTGCTACATGATGGAGGGGAGAGCAAAACAACAGAGGTACAGAAATAAGTTGTAAAGGGGAAAAAAGGGTTGGGATAGTGTCTGTGAGAGTCTCGGTGCTCACACAGTATCGAGCCTACATCCCATACAAAGGCTTGGTGAAGGGAAATGATTCTTGCTGCCCGAGATGTACAGCTGGGGCTCTGGTGCAAGCAGGAACACCTCACCTCTCCGTGACATCAATAAACGTCATGTCTAGGATGTGGGTGCTCTGGAATATGTCATCCTGGGAACTAACTTCGCCATCTGCAGGCAACTGCATGACCGGTGAGCAGAGGGCCAGGAAGGCTGTGGTGGAGGGGGAGGGTGGCCAGCTCAGGGCCACAAAGCGTCCACACACTGTTACGACCCGATTCCCCCCGTGCTTCAGCCGGAAGGCCTTGGACGTGCACATCTCACTGACAAAAGTGACTTCTGCAGGGAAACAAGCGATTCCGAGTTGGTCAGGGACTCCCCTGCTCTGCTCCCAGCAGGTCTGGCCCTAGCTCTCTGATCACAGCCACTGAGGGCCAGAGCAAGGTGGCAACATCCACAAGATGCCAGCTGAGGCCTCCCTTACCCCTGCCAGGTTCCTCCTGGGCGAGGAGGAGCTTCTTGTACACATCCTCACATGCTTGCCCATCCACGATGTCAAAGACTGTATCACCTTGGGCGAGCAGCTCCACCTGACAAAGGAGGGGGCTTCCCTCAAGGACTGTGCCTGTTTTGGTGAGCCTTGGCTGGCACCATGGGCACACAGACCAGTGGAGCCACAACCCAGCATCTGCTCGGGCAGCGTGCTGTGCACACAATAAAGGCACCAGGACAGTGACTGCAAATGCCTAGTGAGCAAGCCTTACCACGGAAAGGCCCAGGACTTGAGCCACGTTCTCTGAGATGTAGACCAGCTTTCCACTGGCTGAGAGCACAAGCAGAAACCCTGGGAGCAGGGAGAGTAGCTCTGTGCCAAGGGCTGGTCCCGCAGGAGGAGCTGAGCCTGCAGGGGGATCAGGGTGAAATGCTGTCTTGATGGAGCAGGAGCAATGCCCCACACAGATTAAGACAGTATGGGGTACAGCAGTGCCATGGGTACCTGGAGGGAACAGCTGAGCCCCCCGCAGCCGGAGGCACACCAGGGCCATGGTTTGGAGGTAGGAGAGCCGCTCCTTCTCCTGCATGGAGATGGGCAGCAGGGAACGCAGCGCCTGCAGCTCCGCGTTGATCTGGTCCCGGCGAGCCTTGGAGGCACTCTTGGTTGACCTGCAAAGCCAGCCATCTGGGGAAGGTGTGTCCGGGGAGGGAAAGGGACAGCATTCCCTGTCTGCTGCTATGGGGAGAATTGTGAGCCCAAGGATATGGAGTGGAAATGCTCAGCACTCATGCCAGCTGCTGCCTCTAGGACAGCAAACCTTGAGTAGCTGTTTCGGTGCAGTGGGTGCAGGCAGAGGTGCTTGATGCTACCCAGGGGCACATGCTGCTAGTGTGGCTGGTGTCTCTCCTGCTGTGGACCAGGTTGGACAATGACCACGCGACACAACCTCCCCACCAAACCCCACAAGGATGGAAATTGCACCCCAGTCCACCAGATAGCCTTTCCTCTTGAACGACCTAAAATTCCTCTTCCCCGCCAGCTCCTGCATCTCCTCCCCTTGCGCCAGCCCCACTGTCTCAGGCTGGTGTGAGCCTCTTGCAAGGCTCTACAGGCTATCAGGCCCTACACCAGCTGTCCCAGTGCTCTCAGAGGCCATCACAGCCCTGAAAGTGGGAGGTGGGGGGAGCTCACCTGAATGGCCTTGAGGCCCTGGGCACCTGCTTGCCCCTCCTGGGCAGGCAGCTCATCTCTGCCTGCAAGGGCTGGTGGCAGTGGCTGCAGAAGATGGTCATACTGCTGGCGCTGGGATGCCTGAAGCTGGCAGGCCTGTACAGCTGTCTCCTTCGCCTCTGGCTGTGGCTGAACCTGCTGACCCCTCTGCTCCCGGCCTCCTTTTGTATCCTCCTGAAGTGCAGAGGCCAAGCCACTCGTGGAGAGAGTTACCTCTTGTGACGCAACTCCAAACAGCTCAGGGCTATTTTTAGAAGGCGGGCTGCTAAAAATAGCCTTGCAGGCGGCTGCAATCTGAGAGGGGAAGTAATAAAAGGAAGCCAGGGTCTTTAAAGCAAACCTGCCACTCAGGAGGGGGCAGTGACGAAGACAGCAGGGATCCCCCTGCATGGCACACATCTGCCCAGCTCCTGGCCCACAGCTGCTGCCAACCCAGCAGAAGGTTCTGTGTCTAACCTGCCTGCCTGGCAGCTGCTCTCCAGCATCACTGGTAAGTGAGCTGGGCACTGTGAGAACGAGCTGATAAGCCAAGAAAATACACTGAAGACATCTGGACCAAGATGGTGAGAAATTCCCATGCTCAGGCCTGCAGCAGGGTCCTGGCAGAGGGACTCAGGGCCACAGCACCCCTGAACCCAAGAGAACCCTTGAAGGAGATTGGGGTGTTGGTGACCCCATTCTTTTCTTCCTAGAGAGGCCTTTTCCCCACCAAAGGTTTGCCTTCCTAGAGGCAACTGACATGGGGTGTTGAGCATTTCTAGGGCCTGTTGTCTCCACTTGATGGTGCAGAGATTGTGATTCTTCCCTGAGAAGTCCCAGTGACAGCCATTCATGGACAGAATTGAGAGCACCTTGGGGAACCTCTGCTCAGCACCCCACTTACCCAGCCTAGGGAGTGTGTGTGGTCTGTGGGTGTTCCTGGTGCCTGGCATCCTGCAAGGAGAGTGAGCTTTGTGCTTCAGTGCTGGGGTGGGCGAGAATGCCATGGCAAAAAACCCACTATTTCATTTCACAGCTTGAGAGAGAGCCTGTGGCTGAGGCAGTTGATTTGAGGAGTTAAAGCTGCTGGACAACAGAGGGTAGATGTCCACCCACAAGTAACTTGCAGGTGCCAAGGACCACAAAGGAGGAGCTGAGGCTGGGGCTGTTCTCCCTGAGAACTGTCACCACACCTGTCTCCCTCCAGGCCCCAACCCTGCCACTGATGTTAATCACCCACCATGGTGAGGTGCCGTCAGAGCGTGAAGAACAAGCTCTTGTCACAATTGAAGTGCTTTCTGTTCTCCTGCCAGAGGGTTTTTCACCACTCTCGTGCCACTCCAGACTGCTCCATGGTGCCCGCACTGGCCACCCTCTGCAGGTCAAGGAGCCCAGGCACCCACACAACCTTGTGGTGCTGGATGAGCAGCACTTGACCCTGGCTCTGTGCCAGCCCTCCGGGCAGGCCAGACAGCCCGGGCCCTCTGCCACCCATTCCTGGCATGCAGCTGTAATCATCTCAGCTGCCCTGGAAAACATCCCAGGAAACACCCTGAGTGCTTCCCTAGGCTAATGCTGTCCCTGCATTTAGCCTCACTACAGTTGCCATGGGAGCTCCTCCTCACATAAGACGCCCCACATGCACAGAAAGGGGCTTGAGC